ACAGATGCTTCAGATCGGGCAGTTGGATCAGTTCTCCAACAGCTTGACAATAATAATTGGAAACCAATAGCATTTTTCTCTAAAAAATTAAATCCTGCTCAATGTAATTATAGTACATATGATAGAGAGCTTCTCGCAATATATTTGTCTATCAAATTCTTCAAGCACCTGCTTGAGGCACGTGAATTTACAATTTTAACTGATCACAAACCTTTAATTTACGCATTCAAACAAAAAAATGAGAAAGCTTCTCCTAGACAATTAAGACATCTACAATACATCTCCCAATTCTCTACTGACATCAAGTACATAAAAGGTACTGACAACATAGTCGCCGATGCTCTGTCCAGAGTTGATGCTATCACAACTATCGACTATGAAGAGATCGCCAAAGAACAAACTGGTGATTCAGAACTACAAAACCTGATTTCAAAGAATACTTCTCTAAAATTTAAGCAATGCCCACTACAATCAGGCAATTTGTTATGGTGTGACGTGTCTACTAATAATATTAGACCATTCATTCCAATTAAATTCCGAATGATGGTTTTTAGGAACTTCCACGAACTCTCACACCCAGGCATCAAAGCCACTACAAAACAATTAACATCAAGATTTATATGGCCTAATATGAATAAAGACATTAGGAAATGGGCTCAAGCTTGTGTCAACTGCCAAAAGTGCAAGGTGTCGATACACACAAAATCAGAAATAGGCAAATATCTAGAAGTGGATGAAAGATTTAGTGTTGTCCACATAGATCTAATTGGTGCTTTACCTCCATCGAATGGTAACATCTACTGTCTGACCTGCATCGACAGGTACACCAGCTGGATGGAAGTTGTTCCGCTACCAGATATGAAGTCTGAAACGGTAGCGAGAGCGTTCTACGAAAACTGGATTGTTAGATTTGGAGCACCGCATACAGTGATATCAGACCGAGGAAAGCAGTTTACTTCTCAACTTTTCAAAGATTTAACAACGCTGTGTGGTATCAAACTTCGCCATTCCACGGCGTACCACCCTCAGTGTAACGGGAAGATTGAAAGACTTCATAGAACCATTAAAACTGCCATTCGGGCCCACAATAATATTAAGTGGACGGAAACGCTGCCAACAGTTCTCCTAGGCTTGCGTGCTGCTATCAACAAAGATAACAACCATTCTTTGTCTCAGATGGTATATGGCAAAACCATCAGACTGCCTGGCGAATTCTTTGATGATTCTAAACATCACCTGCATGCTGAAGAATTTGTTCAACAGCTTCAAAAGCAAATGGAATTGCTCAAACCCTTAAATGAAAAACATCATTCGAAGACTAAAGTATTTGTTCATAAAGATCTGAAAACATGTTCACATGTATTTCTCAGGACAGATCGCGTGAAGAAACCTCTGGAACCACCATATGAGGGACCCTTCCCAGTCCTTGAAAGAACAGACAAGTATTTCACACTCAAAGTGAAAGGAAAAAACGTTACCACATCGATTGACCGATTGCGACCTGCATACTTACTGGCAGATTCGCACAATATAACTGCAGAACATCCTACTGCAGCAAGACCCATCGTGTCGGGAGCGCTGCCTTCTACATCGTCCCAACAGAATCCTGACCCACCAGATGTGGAGAAGTACACAGAATTCCAAGGAACAGGATCAGCACCAGACCTGCCTAGGACAAGATCGGGGAGAATAATCAAGAAACCCGTGAGATTTAAGGAGCAATAGACTATATTTCTCCTTATTTTATTTTCTTGCCTATATGATGTATATATATTGTACTTAACCACTTTGTGCACAAATCGTGACTACGCCACTGGAGGGGGAGTACTGTGGGGACCAGGGATGCAGCACCCCGCCGACGCCGCCGCCGAGATAAATAAACAGACGGCTGCCATAAATCACCACGACCGCGGCACCACAGCGGAGGAATTCCGAGAGAGGACCAGACGTGCATTCCGGGCTGTCTCCTCTTTGTCTTCCCATATAAATGTAGCCAACAAGAAACTCCAATAAACACTAACTTTGAGAGACTTTCTGAGCCATCGCTGGACCAGTAAATCGACACACCACAGAAGTCTCAATTGAAATTTTACAACTGCAATTAAATTGAAAAAATAAAATTTAAAAGCTATATGTTACATTTGTCACTAATACACAAACATTTTTGAGGAAAAATATTATTAATATTATTATTAATAAATAAAACGAAAATAACTTTTTTTTTTTAATTTTGTAACCTGTGCGTGTATGAAGGTCAATAAAAAGTAAATTGATAATATCAGTTATTTACTTTTATATGATAATTTCTTCAGTTATCGTCCGCATATTTTTACGCAAAGTTTAATTTGTAAAACCTATTTTATTGCGGACATTTATTAATTTATTTAAAATGTTTTCATTTGTCAAAGTTAGCCCAAAAAATTTCCATGTAGGTATTATTACACAAGAAAAATGTTTTGTGAAAATCTTAGAATAAAACGAATACTCCCCTAAAAATCTTTAAACTATATATAAACGACAAATGTCCAAATTTAATTGTTCTCTTAAAAATGCTTGCTTCTATCATTTTATTTTCTAAGATAACTTTTTACTGATTAAAATCATAATAAATTGCTTTGAACTAAATTCTTATCAAATTGCTTAATCATTGGGAAAAATTCCTACTTATCAAGAGTCCCATGATATAAATGTCTTGCTCTTAGACTTCATTAAATCCTAAGCTTAGTGGAGATATAAAAATATATCAAGTAAATTTGTTTTATAAGATGTTTATTAAGATATTTAAAAAAATTTAGTATGAAACTTATTTTGAAACCTGAATTTTTTAATATATATATATTTTTTTGAGGACACAACTCACATCTCATAATTTTATATAAATTTAACAAAAATTCAATAGAGAATATTGAGGCTTTTATTTTATTGAATATTTACAAGTTTTCATCCATTTTTTGTTAACAACCACAAAGGTACAGCATTACACATAGGTACATCTTATTGTTTACGCCATGGCTAAGTGGCTACGAATCTGTTGATGTTTTTTTCCTTAATATATATAGTTTAAAAAATTGTTTTCAGCTATTATTTTTTTCAGTGAGGTACAGATTAAGTTTGGCTCAAGAATTACAGTAAAACCTCTTTAATTGGACACACAATAATTTGACACTTGCAATAATTCAACCATCTTTTCAAACATAACCAACCTTATTTTACCAAATGATAATTCAATACCATTGAAATTTCAACAGATTTTTTAAAATCAATTTAAACAACATTAGATAATTCTTGTTTAAATACACAAGGTAATAAGACCAAATCCAAATAAATAAATAGTGTGTGATGTTTCGGTAACAGCGTTGTTACCATCTTCAGACAAAAGTGCTAAATAGTACGTTTTTCAGATTCAATACTTTTGTCTGAAGATGGTAACAACGCTGTTACCGAAACATCACACACTATTTATTTATTTGGATTTGGTCTAATATTTTGTATTTATAATCCAAATTGTGCCTTATTTTGTTTAAATACAAATTTATTGCTAAAAGTACAATACTTTGGCATGTGAGGCATAGTGGCCGTAGTTAGCATAAAAGTGTTACTTCTTCTTCTTTCTTATCTTCACTCAATCGTATTAGGATATCAAGCTTGTAGAGCTTGAGACTTTTGATGGTGTGGGTGAATGTGTCTGCCTTTGTCATTAAGACTGAGAGCACTACTCAGTGGCAGGCCGACTTAACTACAATATGAAATGGCAGCCTCTGACATCAGGAACAAACACCATGTGGAGCCGCTCCTAACATGGAGTACAAACGCTGCTCATCCTGTATCCCTTGATCAAGAGCCCTTACAGGGTACTATCAGCATGGCCAGCTGAGCCCAGGTTTTTTTAGTGAGCTTGTTACTGCTCCCCCTCCTCCTTTTTCATCCGGGCTTGGGACTGGCAAAGGTAGAGTTAAAGTGTTACAATGCATTCCAATTATTAGTGATTATGTCGTACAAGATTTAGGACCATTCACCAGCCACTGCCAATCACCAGTATAAACAATTAGGAGTCTTAGAGAGTAACATTCTGCTATATGAAATAACATACAGGAAAGACATTCATCCCTTTTAAAGATTGATCTGCTAGAATGCACACTAAATAGGCTTCCAACTTAGAAAAAATTCTTTATAAGAGATTTCTGTTAATAAAATATAATTCTTAGCCTTTTCTTTAGATACGAGAAATTAAGGCCTAATGTTGTTGTTGTCATGTCCAATGAAGAGCCTCAGATGTCTCCATGCATCTCTATCACAGCAATGTCCACTATCTTGGAAAATGGGTGCCGTTGCCACGTTAGTCACCTTGGAATCGAACCAGAATTTGGTAGAATATTCTAAGGATCCAGGGGGGACCGCAGGGAGGTGTGGTTGAACTTCTCCCCATTAAGGCCTAATCTAAATAAATTAATAGTGTGTGATGTTTTGTCAACAGCATTGTTACCATAATCAGATCATGATGGTGACCAGTCTGATGATAGTAACAACGTTGTTACTGAAATGTCACACACAATTTATTTGTATTAGGTCTTATTACCTTGTAGTTATAATCTACTAGCGAATGACCTGGGCAATGCCCGGGTTTTACCCGATTAAATGTTTTTATTCAAATACTATTCGTTACAATTATAAATTGGAGCCGTGGATGTCACTCTTGTGAAACGTCCCGCTCCAAACTTTACATGTACATTAGGTCAGCTGGTATTACCCCCCATTTTCACCGCTAGAGGCGCGAGCGAAAGAGCAAATTTGCAAATAACACGACGGATATTCGGGATAGAGACCTGAAATTTTCACTAAGAGTTTTTCCAGATTCTACTTTATATACTGTTAAAATTTCAGTCAGATTAGTTACGTATTGTGGACGTGTATAGTTGACAAACATACATACATACGCTGACTTTTATATATATAGGGATAATAATATAAATGAGTTTTAAAAATTGTAAAAAAAAAAAAAATGCATCGGCCGGGGGCCGGGAATCGAACCCAGGCCGCCCGCATGGCAGGCGAGCATTCTACCACTGAACCACCGATGCTTATAAAAAATGGCCCTATTTGGGTATTTATTCCATTCACAAAAGCAAACGATGACAGAATTGTTGATGACTCTGATACTTATATTTATAATTATGTTAGCATAATGAATTAGTTAGTATTCCCATGGTCTCCAGCGAAGAGGTGTGAATTGACTTTTTGAAAATATACATAATTATAAAGATAGAATCTTCTATAGAAATAACTAAAAAAAAGCCGAAATAGCTGTTGGGAGAGCGTTAGACTGAAGATCTAAAGGTCCCTGGTTCGATCCCGGGTTTCGGCATCTTTTTTTAATTTTTACTTACCGTAACTTGACACGTGACTTAACGTGACAGAATTGTGCATGACTCTGATAACTGTATATATATTATAATCCAATTTGTGCTTTATCAGTCTTTTATTTTATATATTTATTCGCTTACTTCCCATTGCATTTAATCATTTAGATTAAAATAGTAATTTTTCCTTTGTTCAAGAATATATTAATGCAAAGTTAATGATGAAACATACATGGGAATCTACTATTGCACATGACTGGTACAGATAAGAAGGCACAAGCACCAATTCTATCCTCCCAAAGGAACAACAGTCCTTGATTTCCAGACTTAAGTCTGGTTATCTATTGACAATGACTTTCCAGAATGGTTGCAAAGCTTTCCCACTATGTACTAAGTACAATTCTCAACCTGCAACCCCAAACCACACCATTGACTGTATTGACTCATCTATTGATGAGTTCTCTATTCATCCCCAGCAGACACCATCAACAAGCTCTACAGGCTTGATAGCCTAATATGATTGAGTGGAGATAAGAAAGATCGTTGCTGAATGCTATATATAAATTTTTACATTTTATACTTTTATTTAATTGAATATCATCAAATTTGAAATAGAAAAAAATGCAAATGGCTTCTAAAATAAAGAAAAAAAGAGCAAAGGTTTTTAACAAGCTACAACTAGAAAAAAAAGCCATTTTATCAAAGCTTTTCAAAGTGTTAAACAACACAGGAAAACTTTCAGAAAATGTTAAAATAAGAAAATGTAACATTTCCAATACAGTAGAACCTCCCTGTAAAGGACACCTAATTGCAGAGCCAAACTGTCCTTTAAGGAGAGGTGTCCTCTTACTGGAGAGTGTCAAAATAGTAAAAATGGTAATATTTTGCAAATGAAAACTGTCCTTTGTAGAGAAGTGTCCGCTAAAGGGAGGTTCTACTGTATTAGATATTAAAATAGAAGGCTTTTAAAAATTGCTACAAAGAGAAATCCACCTGCACATTTTGATCAATTGTATGTGTTAGAGTTCCCTTTCAGAAGTGTTTTATAAAAGAAAGTTGAACAATTTTTGATGCATCAGCTTCTTTTTTTTTAAAATAAAATCTTCTTCTTCTTTCTTATCTCCACACTGGGTGAAGTAGAATGCTTCTGCCTTTGTCATTAAGACTGGGAGCACTACTCAGTGGCAGGCCGACTTAGCTCCAAAAGAAATGGCCGCCTCTAACATGAGGAACAGACGCCATGTGCAGCCGCTCCTAACATGGAGTACAGACGCTGCTCATCCTGTATCCCTAGATCAGGAGCCCTTACAGGGTACTATCAGCCGGGCCAGCTGAACCCAGGTTTTTTACCGAGCTTGTTACTGCTCCCCCTCCTCCTTTTTCATCCGGGCTTGGGACCGGCAAAGGCGGCGAATAATTTTCCACTGTTCTTATATACTGCAATGGTAAAATAATGGGAAGGGGAGGGAGATAGGTTGGCTCATCAGTGGTGAACCCTCCCAGCGGTTTCATCAGTTTAAACCAGGTTTCATCACTGGTGAGCCAAGCCCTCCCATTATTTATTTTACCATTGCAGTAAGGGCTGTAGAAAATTATTATTTCAAACAATAAGAGCTAAGGCATAAAAAACAATCAGTTTTCTGATAACAGATGGTAATACATCAGTGTTCTATATCTTGCTAGGCTAAAAAAATCTCAAGTAAACGGGCCCATGATGCAACAAAAGGTTTTTTTTTTATGCCATAAACTATGTTAGTCTATAAGACAGCAATAGTTTGCATGACTGGTTTAAAACAAAATTTAAAATCTAGTCTTTAGGAGAACAAGTGGAAACTTGAAAAAGAAGAAAGGGATTTATTGATAATTGGGCAATGGTTTGTAGTAAAAGATTTAAATGATTAATTTAAATATTAAAAAAGCCATACATTCAGTGAGTGCTGATTCTTTTATTATTATAAATGAAGATCAATGTGCGTGTCAGACCATCTTTCTTAGATTTATGATAAGCACAATTTGTATTCTTTGTCAGATGATGGTAACAACACTGTTACCGAAACATCACATACTATTAATTTATTTGGATTAAGGCTATTTTCTCTTAGCGTTATATTAAGGAGACTACTTCTTAAAAGCTTGTTTTGTCTTTGTGTATAATTCTATATACAGTTACATGCGTCATCTCTTTCACCGTTTGCTTTTTTTTTGGAATGGCGCTCTCCTATTGGTTGGCTACGATCACGCCACCACTACGCGAGACACTTTGTTTTTGACTTTGCCCCCCCACTCGCTTTTTGTTTTTTGTAACTATTGTGTTGGAGCAGGTTGCTCCTTAAATGCATATATTAGTTAACCCTTAACTGGACGGGTTGGGTAGATTCCGCCCATGCATAAACTTAATATAGGAAAAAAATACATTTTTCGTTTACTGAGAGCTAACAGCTTTGGTGTATTCTAATTTTACAGTGATACAAACAATTTCCATTCATCGTTTAAGTTTTGGGAGGGCGGTTAAATTTGCATGTGTGGGCGGATTCCGCCCATGCCGTCCAGAAGCGTGAGAATTTTTCATGTTAGGGTTATAGCTGATTGCTCATTCTCGAGTCGCTTTCTTCTGCTATTTTTTAGCTTCCATTCATAAAATAAGACTTCTTTCTTTGGCTAAGTAGAATTTATTCTTTTAGATTAAAAAAAACAACTTCCTTAATTTTTTTTATCAAGGTAAGACTCTTTATTTTTGAAATTCTATTTATAATGGAAGACGAAATTTTGAATAAGAATTTTGACGATGATTCTGAAACTGAAAATTATTCATTGAACGAATCTTCAGATGTCAGTACAGATGAGGAATGTGATTCAATTCTTACCACTGTTCAAATGTCTTCAAGTAATTGTTTCATTGGGAAAAATGGCTATAAGTGGAACAAGAATCATGCAATAATTGGAAGAACCCGTTCTCATAACATAATTACACACTTACCTGGTCTGAAAGGCCCTGCTAAACCGAAGCCAAATTGTGGCATAGATATATTCAACTTATTTTTTACTGCCGCAATTATAAAACAAATATCTGAATTTACAAATGCAAAAATTGAAGAATTTCGCCAAAGAATTTCAGATTTGACCAAAAGTACTTACTCAAATTTTACAAGTGAAATAGAAATAAGAGCATTCTTAGGTTTGTTGTATCTAGCTGGAGTTTACAAATCAGGTCATGAAAATGTAGAATCTTTGTTTGCCTCAGATGGAACAGGCCGTGACATTTTTCGCTCTGTAATGAGTGCGAAGCGTTTCCTTTTTCTATTACTTTGTATTAGATTTGATAATTTCAAGGCAAGATGCAAAGAAGATAGACTCTCACCCATAAGAGATATTTTCCAAACCATTATTGAAAAATTTCAAAGTTGTTATACACCTGCTGAATACCTTACTGTTGACGAAATGCTTGTAGGGTTTCGGGGAAAATGTCCATTTAAAATTTATATACCCTCAAGACCTAATAAATATGGGATAAAAATTGTGATACTAGCAGACTCAAGAACACATTATATGTATAATGCAATGGTATATACAGGAAAATCTAAAACTCCAAAGTCAAAAGAACTATCCCTGCCAACCCAAATAGTTTTAGATATTAGTCGACCACTTTGGAAGAGTAATAGAAATATTACAGCAGACAACTGGTTTACTTCAATAGAATTAGTTGATAAGTTGAAAGAACATGGCCTTACATATTTAGGAACGATGAGAAAGAACAAACCTCAGATTCCACCACAATTCCAACCGCATCCTAAAAGAGAATCAGGAACATCTATTTTTGGTTTCTCTGGAACAAAAACTTTAGTCTCCTATGTTCCCAAAAAAAGAAAATCAGTAATCCTTATATCTTCGATGCATCATGACAATAAATGTGATGAAACAACAGGAAAACCTGACATTATAATGGATTATAATCTAACAAAAGGAGGTGTAGATACCATTGACCAAATGGTCTCTAATTTTTCTACCTCTCGTCGATCCAGAAGATGGCCTTTGGCACTTTTTTATGCCCTCTTAGATATCACAGCTCTGAATTCTTACATCATCTTCAACTATCAGATTGATAAAAAGGATCAAAAAGAAAGAAGTACCTTTATTGTTGATCTTGGGAGATCCTTGATTGTGAACACCTGTGGCCACACGTAATCTAAATTCCCTCCCGCTGGAATTACAGACGACAATAAAAAAATTCAAAAAGAATGATAGTTCAAGTACATCAAGAGGATCTACGATGCCACAAGAATCTGATACTCCAAAAAGGTGCTACAAATGTCCATCAAAAAATGCGGGAAAAGTGAAAACCTTATGCTCTGTATGTCAACTAAGCGTCTGTAAAAAACATTTCTTAATTATTTGTGAAAACTGTAAATAGATTATATTTGGAATTTTTAGAAGTCAAAATCTGTATATTAACATTTGTAATCATTAAATAATCTTTCAAATATTGATTTAATTCATTATTTAGCGCTTATTTCGTAAAGGTACATAAGTGGGTTGAATCTACCCACCCCGTCCAGTTACGTAAGAAAAAATCACCCGTCCAGTTAAGGGTTAATAACTAAATGGAATCCTCTCTTTCTTTTTCCCAGTAAGAGACGCCTACAGAAGCCAACAGTACATAGACAGATAAAGCACATAGGCTATAGTTATTAACTAATATATGCATTTATTTAAGGCGCCAATTTATAATTGTAACAAATAGTATTTGAATAAAAACATTCAATCGGGTAAAACACGGGCGTTGCCTGGGTCATTCGGCTAGTATTAAAATAATTGGGGCTCACACAGAGAATATTTATGTCCCTAGTTGAGGAATGTTTGACTATGGAACCTTTGTACAGTGAGCAACTGTAACTTAGGGGGATGGAGGTCTTGCCTTGACCTCCAAGGCTACTTGTAAAGTCAAAGACAGCCAAAGTAGAGATCATGTTAATGGTGTAAACACGATTATAATTAACCTCAAAGAGAG